TATATTTATATATGTAATGTATTTTTAAAGCAACATTAACCCCTTTTGTCCTCCGGTTTTAGGAAAAGGTTCTCCTGTGGTGGTTTTTTTTGTTTTGTTTTGTTTCTGTTGTGGTTTTTTTGCAGTGACATGAAGAAAAACCAGAATAGGGAAAATGTTTACCATCTGCCTCAGTAAATAATAACTATCAATATTACATATTTTCATTAATTTAAAAAAAAAAAAAAACCTATTGGAGGCACAAGTAGGGCATCCTTTGGTGAACAGCCAAAAGACCACCCTATTCCCCTTGACCTCCCCAACGCACACGAGGAAAAAAAAAACCAAGAAAAAGGACTGGTTATGATTCCAGCCATAACAAAAATATATTCTTTGTACTCTACTGTCCCTCAGGTTCATTGTTGGTTTGTTTTTAAAACCACAAACTACTGCTGCAGAGTTCAGATGTGTTCCAGGGAAAAATGTTGTTTTAGCTAAGAAAGATTCAAAAAAATTTGTCTTCAGTACAAAAAGTCTTGAGAAAATAAGTTTTTTCTTTTTTTTATTATTTTTTTTTTTTTTTGCTCCCAAAATGCTACAATGTGTCTAGTGTATGTCTAGTGTACTCTGTGAAAGGTTTGAATTCAAGTCTGAGTTGTCGGAGCTGAGCCCCAGTTCCGTGGCGCTTGTACCATGGAGGCCTGCCATGCCAGGATTGCTAGCAAGCTGGGAAAGCATTGCACTCTGGTCCGGGCTGGCAAAGTGCCCTTGATCCATGGGGTTAGCCTGGGCAGCTACCAGTCCTGGATGTGGGGAGCTGGTCTGCGGGGAGACATGGTGTGGCGAAGGCTGAGGTTGCATCCGAGGGGACGGGCTGGAATGGGGGGGCTGGGACTGCGGCCGTGGTGAGGGTACAGGCTGCGGAGAACGCACTTGATTGGTGAGCGATGAAGGGAGCTGTTGGCCCGGTAGGTGTGGGGACTGGGCCTGATTGGGAAGCATGTGCTGTTGGGGGCTCATAGGATTGGGCTGAGCTGGAGACCCCATCTGCTGCTGAAGTAGCCTCTGCTGGAAAGCCTGCTGCAAACTGGCTCCTGTCTCTGCACTCATTGCCTGCGGAAGCTGGCTTATTTGTCCCATGTTTCCTTGCTGCATCTGCTGCATGTGATGCTGCATTCGCTGTTGTTGCTGCTGCTGCTGCTGTTGGGGATACCCGACGCCCTGGGGCTGCTGAAACTGGTTGTGGTTGGTCATCCCCGGCCCCAGTGCCGGTCCTGCTCCCTGCTGTTGTTGCTGCTGGTGACGCTGCTGCTCAATCATCTGGTGCCGTCTCATCAGGAGATCTCTGAACTGGGGAGCCATCCCCGAGTGATTCATATTCATCTGCTGCGCCTGAGGATTCATACCAGCCATGGCCTGCTGCGGCTGCTGCTGTGGCTGCTGCTGGGGCATGCTGGGCCTCTGCACTCCTGCTTGCATGGGGTTCATGTTCTGCATGGCTGGGTTGGGGTGCACTCCTCCTTGCTGCCCTTGCATGGCCTGCTGCGGCTGGAGCCCCGGCTGACCCTGGGGAATGACTGCCATTCCCTGGGGGTTCTGGGACCCCGCATACTTGGCAGCCCGCTGCTTGATGAAAGCAGCAAGCAACTGAGGATTGGAGTGAAGGATGTTAAGCACCTGCTGCTGCTGCATGGGTGAGCTGGGAGACCTGAGAGTCCGCAGTAGGTTTTGTAAGGCCGCCTGAGGCAGAGGTGGTTGTTTGGGCTGAGCAGCACCAGGTACCTGACCCATCCCAGGCTGAGGTGCCATATTCATTGGCTGGCCCGGCTGGGGTACTGACATCATGGATGGCCTCTGCATTCCTGGCTGCAGCTGAGCTTGGGGTAAGCCCCCCTGCACCCACGGCGGCTGCTGCTGGGGTTCCTGCGGGCCCATTT